GTCTTTTGTATATATATATATATATATATATATATAAAATGTAACACAAAAAACTTTTTTAATTTACATCCAAAAACTACGTGTGTGTGCCTTTATATATAGTTGTGTCCTAAAGTGATGTGTGTGTGTGTGTGTGCATATATAATCCTCATAGTTCACATATTACATATTTACTTAGTCTGACATATCTAAATTGAGATAGACACAAAAATGAAGTCAAATACCGAGTAATAAAAAAACTGTTAAATAAGTCAAAATTGTAATTCAGAATATTTCTTTACAGTCACTTTCCAAACCTAAAATTTTCTCTGTATAGCTTTAGAAAATTTCCTTAAATGTACAAGTTATATATGTTCACACATTTTTAACATAATAATTAATATCAAATCATTGAAATTAATAATGATCTCCAAATTGGAAATTTATTTCAATTTCATATTGTCACATATATACTCTTACTCAAATTTTTTATACTGTATTATAAAAAATTAAAAACTATAAAGAGGCTTTAACAATATTTAGAATACTACTCACAATAAAAGAAAAACTAATAATTAAAACATGCGACTTCATTCAAATTCAGTGCTTGAGTCTGAGTCATCAGACAAGTCAGAGTCACGAGTTACATTCCGTATACGATCAAGGGTAGCAAGCAAAACTGTTGATAAGTCAGCATCACTTGATTTCCATCTGGGCTCAAAACGATTAGTTCGTTTTTCTATGAACAGAAGTAAAAACTTTTGTTTACACACTAAAATTGATAAAAATTTAATAGCAAAACTGTATCATTGTTAATCTGAAGTAATCTTAGTCACATATGTATAAAAAATAATTTACTAATTATAAAAAAGGGCATTTTACATAATAAAATAGAGAACATAAAAGTTACTACGGTCATACACGTTAAAAATACAAATATCATTAAATACACAACTACATAAATTCACAAAGATTCCAAGTGCTTATGCAATCATTCCATTAACTCTTTTGCAACGGGAGCCCCTTTAAACACTTTTCTGTTAAAAGTAATTCTGTTACATGCAAAATCTAATTACACACCATTAAATTCAATGAATGTGAATGAATTTAATATCATAATATGTGTTATAATTGGAAGTTATATTTTATCCAACTTTTAAGGTTCTTTATTACAAAATAAACCTTTAAAAAATACTTATAACTTCAAATGTATTGCCACATGACCAATGAGCTATGAAAAATCTCTACTATGGTTCTGTATCTTCAATAATACGATGGTAATAGAGTAGAGGTATGTCTAGCCACTAAGGTGCTTACATAACCTTTTGACTCATTTCTTTCAAAGTACTCTGAATGAATACAGTTAAAACAAGTAATAAAGTTTTCAACCCCTGACAGCTGCCATGTACACCTTCAAAAGATTTGTTTGAGCTTTATCCCATCCATGTAGACATTCCATACACATGTATATAACAATTAGAAAGTACTCATTTTACATTATAAACTAACAATGGTTATTTTAAAATTGGCACCAAGTCTTTGTCCCAGAATACATGAAATTTACTATAGTATTGTTGGCTGTTTGATCGACTGTAGCACTTATGGTTGTTTCTTACCTAAATATGTTAGAAATACAGTTTAAATTGTATTTAGACTTTACTATTATATTTTAGTGAATTATGCATTAGTTATGTTTTGAAATGCATAAATAAAAGGTTTAAACATTTTAAAATATACATCATACTTTGCATTCATCCTCAAGGCTTACAATATTATGCACTGAACAAAAATTTGCCGAAGGGTTGTGCATGTCTCTCAAAGAAACTGTAATATGCCTCGAGGACACCATTGACTTGTGTCGAGATGAATAATAAGTGGTGAAGGACAAGAAAGGAAAAGAAGACATTAAAAATTAACAATATGTGAAAAGAAAAAAGAGATGAAATTACAAATTTAACAAAAGGAAAATCTTGTAACATATTCTACAAAACATTAAAAGGTATGTATGTTTTCGTATTTCCTAATTTTAATTATTTCATTGCATTGTACATTGATGATAATAGCTAGAGTTAATGATATGGTAAAGAAAATGAAAAATAAAATATAAAAATTTACCTTAAAAATCTTTTAATATCCTTTTAGGAGGTTCTAGAGATTATGCAAATGAAATATGAAACTATAAGATGAAGAAAAGTATTTTTATACTTAAAATGAAAATCACTTTGCACTTGATTTGTTAATAGTTTGAATGCAAGTAACTACAACAGAAAAATAACATTTTTAATAAAAACACCTAATTATAAAACTGTCATTATTCGTATACAAGATATTTATGATCTTTAATGAAATATTACCAATTTTTGAGAGGATATGTTAAGAAATCTCAGAGTTACCCATGTATTGTTGTAGGAGTGAAATTTGCGAAAGGGTTAAGCATTATAGTTTCCAATAGTTACTGATAAAAGTAGTAGTACATAATATTGTTGATTGTGCTTAATGATATATCCCAGATTACTAACAAAAAGAAGAATATGTTTTAATATCAGCGTTTATAAATATTTTTATCCTTATATGAAAGTTAGCAGCACATTAACACTCAAGCACTACAACTTCATATAATTTTGAATATATATAACAGTGTTAAATATATATATATATATATATATATATATATATAAACATACAAACTTTATCACACATATAGTAATTCTACATTTAGGATTATCTACACACTTACCTCCCTTTAAATGGCTGATTGATGGAATTGTTTTACGAAGATTGCTTCTGACAGCCAGAAGCTCATTTAAGTCAAGTCCTGAGATCCCACTCAGTAAAGATTCACTCTTCTTTGTAACAATTCCATCTGTTTTCTGCTCTTTTGTCTCATATGGCAGAAATAAAGTGTGTGACAATGGTGGAGGAGGTGGTGGTGGTGGTGGAGGAGGTGGAAGAAAGTATGATTTAGTCTCAATGTCAGGACCTTGTGAAGTGGAGCAGAAAGCAGCACCATTCTCAAATGTATTCTGATCATCAGGGTCTGGTGGAGGTGGAAGAGGGAGATTTTGTTGTTCCTGAGAGAAGTATAATGCATCAACTGGAGGTGGGGGAGGCAAAGGTAACTCATAATTTTCATTAAGGTTATCCACCATCACTATAGTTTTTTCTCCAATTCTTTCACAAAGTTCATTCCCTGCAACAGTTTCATCTTTAGCATTCACATGAATAATTTCTCCTATAAAGCTTGGAGAGAGAGAGCTACTACTGGTATCAGATTGCTGGCACTTCTAAAAGTAAAACATTAAAACATAAACGTTTTATCACTTTGGAGAACTTTCCAAGTTCGATACAAATGTGTCATCTAATACTATTTTTGTTTGTCTTTAGAAAAAAGTTCATGTTAAAAACTAAAATCAAGACTAAACTATTTCTACTTAATCACATCTCTAATTTAAGATTCCTTGGTTTCAATTGTTTTCATAACAAACAGGTCTTATGAAACCATTGTAAACAAACTAAAATTAATAAATAAACATATTAAAACATTGATGAGAGAAAATGTCTTCACAATTAATTATTTATATGAAATGTCATTTAACTTGCACACTACAGAGCTGCCAAATTATTACTGCCAGCCATCAATTTTCCTGTTTGGTTTTCTATATATTTATGTAATTGTTCCTTTTAAATTCATAATCATATGCAATGCAAATTGGTGCACAAAAAGACTGAAGAAATAACTGAAAGTGCTTTCATCACAAAACATTTATTGAAGGTGTATAACATTTCTGGTTTTTACTGACTGATATATATATATAAACTCACCTAAAACCTTGAAAACAGCTATCCATTTTTTTTTTAAGAACTTTCTTAGATTCCTTTCATTTTAGAATATACACTACCTTGACTGTGTTAAAAGTAAGGTATGACTATGTGTATCTGCAAGCATGGCATTAGCTCCATACATACATAACATTGTAAAAGTACATTTCATGCCTTATGTGTCACAAACACTGAAATTTCATTTCATAAAGATGTTTCTTTAAGGACAGTTTACCTGTCTATAGGCCCTCAGTCTTTTCAGGGTCTTTTTTCGTTCTTGTCTCATTTTTTCTTTTGCAACTTCATCTTGCTTCTGGCGCTCAGCTTTTTTCTGTAAGTACAGATAATGTATCATTCATATAGAACAAAGTATATAGATTATTACTGTGCATTTCAAAACCACACAATGTAATACTAATAAATGATTTTTGATAAATGCAAATACACTGATACTTTAAGGAAAATGGTGATATTCCACAACAAACATATTTATCCCTAAATTCTTCCTTTAAAACAATCACTCCCATTAATCAGGCAAACATACAGAAGGAAATTTTCAAACAGACATATCATGCAAAATTCAAATGTAACTCTAATCAACATATTGTAAATCAAAGATCACTGATATCAGTCTGGCTTGTTTTAATGTTTTGACTCAATACCTCTGAACAACTGGAGACTTTCTGAAAGTATATAATAAATGTCAGTAATATCTTCATATTGTGACCAACTTTTCTAGGGAATTTACACTTAGATGTACATGAGCATGCAAGATTATTAAAAGAATGTCAGTTTTAAAATTATTACTTGATATAATATCACTTTCTGTTAAGGAAGAAAAGAGAGCATATAGTTGCTAAAAAAATAGTTGAAACAAAACAAAAGGCTATAAAAAATAAATTATATATAAATACATTCATGTTTTTAGCAGGCACTTCATACAAAACAACTGTAATTCATAAGCCAACACATGTATTTAGAATTATTAATTCTGCACTGATTACCAGATTTATTATTTCATAAAATAAGTAAGAACTTCAACAATTAAAAATTAAAGTTAAAAACAAAATATACAATTAAAAACTGTATATAATTAAAACTCTACATTTTTCAGTCGAAGAGATTCCACCATCTTCAGGAGACCAGAAGAAACACAGGAAATTTCATTTTTATACAAGCAAGTGTCCATGTTTTGAATTAATGAACACAAAAATGCAATTGAAAAATTAAAACTAGTGAATCAGGTTTGGTGGAACATGCGACAAACTCTTCACATAACGTTGAATGGGAAGGTTCAAATACTTAAAGAAGTTAAGCTTAAAAATTAATTAAACATAAGAGAATCTCTAGAAATTGTTAAACATAAAATGATTTTGAATAGAGATCTAGGCCAAGGTGCCACAGAAGTGAATTTTTGGAAATATATTCTGTAGAGGGTACTATACAAATGCAAATTATACACATACACTTGTTTGTATAAAAATGAAATTTCCTGTGTGTTTCTTCTGCTCTCCTGAAGATTGTGGAATTTCTTCGACAGAAACATGTAGAGTTTTAATTATATACAGTTTTTAATTATATATTTTGCTTTTAACTTTATATAATAAATTACTGTACATCTTAGAGGACTAATGCATTTGCTTTAAAGTTAAGGTAACAACTTATTAACTGTAACAGTGAGTTCATAGGGCTTTTCTGAAAACCATGAGCACCTTCAGGGCATGTCATTAACTTTCAAAATAAATCACAATACAATAAAAGCTGCATATTAAATCACTTTAGTCAGAAAGTCAAGTGGCAATATGAACCACTAGTAACTGAATCAGTTTACTAAGCATGTGTTTGAAATGTATTATTGTTTCTAGACATCATGTACAAACTTGCAATTACATTGAAATTAAAATGTAACACAAATAGGGTGTGTCTTTTTTTTATTATTAGATATTCATCTTTGAAAATGCAAAAAAAGAAATTATAAATTTTGGTACTGGTTAACAAATTTTGATAATTCCTACATTAGATAAAATAGGTTTCTTACTGTATTTTACATAAAATCATATCTTTAGCTTTATCTACCTATGTTTAACAATCATAACTTTAATCAACCTAAAATACCTATGCTTGGCTGCAAGGTTCAAAGGCTTTTCCTCATGATTTATTGAGGCCCCAATATAACAACCAATTTCCTTCATTACCCCCAATTACTTTTATAGCTACTTCAAGGAGGGTCCATAGCCTCATAAAAAAAAAAAAACCAGTAGGACACCTGCCCATGATACCTGAGCATATGTGTCAAGTGTGCCTACAGCTTGTGAGTGGGGTTTGTACACAGTTTCAAATGTAGCATCTTTGGAATCCAGATGGGATCAAGAACAATGTCAGGTGCAAGGCTCAGAAACCCTGCAAACCTACTTCTAGACCCCTATCATGCTTAAATGACCATATAGGTGCATTTTACCCCCCCCCCCCTGGGGGGGACTATACCATATAGATAAGAACACCCCCTGGCCATTCTCCAAGTCTGCCTAACAAGTATGATCCTGCTAGGATTGTTTTTGGCATTGCTCATTTTTCACCTCTGTGACCTACCTGATCCTACAAATCATTACAACAGCTTGCTGTACAAAACTCCCAATATCTTTTAGAGTGAATCACAACACACTTTACTAAGTTTTTTAAGGTTTATTGAAAACAATCCTGAAGCAAACACTGAATCCTATTTTTATTTGCTTAACAGTAAATTACCATATTATTTGTACCAGGGGTATCTTCAGTAGAGAAAAGATTAAGCCAATTTCCAGCTCAATACGTAGGGTTGGATCCTTGTTCACTGTTAATTGCTATGTTTAAATCACAAAACATTCAAGTAATGTAGAAAATAAAAACAAAAGTGCTAACAAAAATAAAGAAAACTTGCTAACTTCCTTTTTTTTAATTGACTACTAAAGAAATTAGTTTATAGGTGACTATATGCTTAACATACAAATCACTCTGACATTCCCTAAATGACATGACAGTGGAGAGTCAAATGTGAATGTACCATTTTTTTTATATTAATGGTATTAATAATATAGAAATGGGACAAACAAATATGTATATATTTTTGTAGAGGCATTTGGTTGCATATTCAACACAAAAAAGGCATAAAATAATTGAAAAAATATATATTTCTCGAACATATATGTAATAATGACTTTATGATCTCAACAATATGAAAGTTATCAGTAATTTTTGATCAAAGCAAAATATCTACACAGAATACAATTCTACCATTCATATAACATTCTTACTAGGGTTATGCATAGTCATAAAATATAAACTTATAATAATTAGAATGCACTGATTCATCAGTTGGACACCAATTATATTTTGCAGGTTTTGATGAACTTAGGAGATTCAGGTTAGTCCTAAGTTCAAATACTAAGCTAACAATGAAGAATAATCATAATACATAAAATATAGTAAAAATATGTATGTGTGTGTGTGTGTATATGTATGTATGTATGTATGTATGTGTATGTATGTATGTATGTGTATGTATGTATGTATACATGTGTGTGTGTGTGTATGTTAAACATTTTAGATAATAATGTTAATGAACTTTTTCAGTTCAGCTCACTTCTACACATTACTAAATGGGTTACTGTTCTATAAGGCTAAATACAATTGCACATCAAATTATTTTTACTGAAACAATTATTGAGTAAATAATTTTAGATTTACTTGCTCAGCTACATTTCTTCATTATTATTACATATTTCATTTTTTTTCTTCAAATTACTAATTCTTTTCTGTAAAGACTGTTTAATATAAAAAGATAGGTACACTTCATTTGTTGTTGCACAGCAGATTCTTACCTGCATTGGTCAGTTGAAGAGATGGACTATCTTTAACATTTTCTTAATGCAAGTAGGCAGTATTACACCACTCATGACTTTACATATTTTTTTTTACATTTATTTTCATGTCTCTGTGTATTGTCTTTGTGCATATTTGGATTACATTTATACACAGCATATATATTAAATGCCAGAGATTCACTTACCATCTGAGCAGAGTGATGTTTTCCAAACTGTTCTCTTTCAGCATATACTTTTTGTTTTTTCTTTTGCAGGTGACCTATACAGGCTTTCTGAAATCAACATGTTAAAATATTGGTACATAGAAAGATTATTATTATTCTCTAAGTTTCTAACATCATGATAGTATTAGTGAATTAAGTTCATAACATCCAACAGTACAAATAGGATGATGCAAAACAAATATTTAAATAAATTGTAATTTCACATATCTTTTCACTTATGGCTGCACCCGAGGAATTTTGGTACAATGATTTATTGGTGATAAAATAAGTATAATTCATCTAAATGAGATCTTTCTATTAGGGGAGTTTACTTGCAAGCTGTGAACAACCTTTTACACACCACATACTATCTCAACAGGGATGGGAGTAATCTAAAGTAAACAAAATGATTTTTAAATATGTCACTTCAGTTCAATACGATTTGTGTACTTTCACAAATTGTCAATGATATATATATATATATGCATTCTACATCCCAGAGATTAGTAATTCAAGCATCTAGAGACACAGTAGTGATTCCAGACAAATAGTGGAGTAACACTGCTATTACTCTATTTTCATGACTGAACATTTGGCCAAACCTGGGGTATTTCCCACACCTATTCCAATACCAATATTCTCATGTTTCTGAACATTCTTGCACCACATTACAAACTAAAGCTTCATATCTATTTCAGATTAATAGAAATAAGCACATTAACATTTTCTTCTTCTGTTTAAGAGGCAAAATATACAGTAAAGAGAGGAGGACTGTCAAGAAACAAAATTCCACTGGAAGATATAACCCTTTCAAATCAGTCTCCTGCAACTCGCAGGAACCCAACTGAGGAATGATATGTATGCAACAATACATAAGGTAACTCTGAGATTTCTTAACATATCCTCAAAAAAACTGGTAAGATTTTGTTAAAGTTTACAAGTATCTTGTACACAAAGAATGACATTATTTTAATTAAGTCTTTCTACTAAAAATATGTTATCTATTTATTGTAGTTATTTGCACACAGACTCTCAATAGTTCAAGTGCAAGGTGATTTTCATTTTAAGTATAAAAATACTTTTCTTCATCTTACAGTATTAAAGTTTTATTTGCATAATCTTTAGAATCTTTTACATAAATATCAAAAGTTTTTTAAGGTATATGTTTATATTTTGTTTTTCATTTTCTCTACCATATCACTAACTGTAAATATTATCATCAATATACAGTGGAATGAAATGTTTAAAATTAAAAAACAGAAAAATGTCCATACCTCTTAATTTTTTGTAAGATATCTTAAAATATCTTCTTTTGGTGATTTTGTAATTTAGGTATTTTTACATATACATAATTTCTAATGTTTTACTGTTTTTTTCCTGTCCTTTACCATTTATTATTCATCTCCACACAAGTCAAAGACACCTTTGGAGCATATTACAGTATCTCGGGAGAGATGTGCAAGCCTTTGGTAAAATTATCTTACACTCTTGCAAGATTGTAAGCCTTGAGAACTGGGGCAATGCTTGAGATTAACTTAAAAAATATTTAAACTTTTCAATTATACATTTTAAAACATAAATAACACATAATTAACTAAGATATAAAAGTAAAACTGTAAGTGCTATCATGAGGACAAAGCAGCCAACAATATTACCGTCAGTTACATCTACCCAATGACGACAAATGTGTGCCAATTTAAAAAAAAAACTATTGTTTAGATTTAAAAATTATTACATATGTTTATATTGTTCATCAGTTTATTTCCATACAGATTACAAATAGATTTTCTGTAAATGGTATTTCACCACAATTAATAATACATTTTGTTTTATTTTTATCACTAGGATATGAGCACATTAACTAGGCTGAAGCTCACAATTGCCAGGACAACCACTGACAATCACAGGTGGTTACTCATGTTTGCCAATTCAATGCCAAATTAGTGACAGACAGTTTTACAGCCATTATTAGTTTATCTGAAACATAGATCAGGCTACACCTACAACTTAAGGAAACTTGTTTGGACTGGTCATTGACAAGAACACCCCTAGAAAGATAGACTAACTAATAAATGTTCCCTTTACAAAGCTTTACAAAGATTAGTTCATTAGAATAAACAATCTTACTGGATTACTTAAAACCTCCAAACAAGATTTGTACAGTTCTCTAAGAGTTGTAGCAGGCAACATATTCACAAAAATCTCTGAATCGACATTTATTACAATAAAGCAATCAAGCATTTTATACTTAAAACCTCCAAACAAGATCTGTACAGTTCTCTAAGAGTTGTAGCAGGCAACATATTCACAAAAGTCTCTGAATCAACATTTATTACAATAAAGCAATCAAGCATTTCTGATTTTTGACAACAATAACTCCAAGCAAGATAACAAAGGGTCATTAAATGTTATATCTACAGGTATAAAAGTTATTGTCATGTAGTCCTAAAAAGATAATTGTTCCATTCAAGATGGATTGTTCAAAACATACCCATGAGTAGAATAAGATGCAGAAAAGAATACATTTTATGCAGACCTATGAGAAAGTTAAGAATCAGAATATTATTACAACATGAAAAGTTGCCAACACTGGCTTTTTCTTCTGCCATTCATTTACTCAACTTTCAGAATCATTACCAAATTCAATCACTGACATAAACTGGCTAGCTAAAGCCTAGATTATGTATAACAATACTTAGACCCAAAGAGTTACCTTTTTCTTCTTTAAACACTACTGAAATCAGTCATGCATGGTATGCAAGTTAGATCCTGCAATGTGGATTTCATATATTAAAATCACTTGTAAAGTTTCTATGTTATTATTACAAGCTAGCCTAATAATCAGTGTCTAATAACTAGATGCATTTCTGCAGGGTTCTCAAAAATATTTTGTTTCAAGAGTAAATAAAACCAAAATTAAGAGTAACAAATATTTTTATTTCTTGCTTTAGAAGTTTATATGTCATACAGTGTTGTAGCCTATAGAATGCATAATTCTTCTTGTGGTTCAATACAAACTGCAACATTAACCTGATAATTACAGGCACCCCTTTACTGTGCATGTACTTTGTTACATTCAAAATTTAAATAAGCAATCTTACTATCAATGCATACCAATTAAATTAGCATTAAAATTTACATTATAGTTCAAAATTTTATATTATCCAAGTTTTAGTTCCTTTATTTCAAAAGAAACCTTAAAGAAAAATTATTAAACTTCAGTATGATGCACAAGTTCAGAAAATTTTAACTTTTCATCTCTTGTAATTTTAATATTTCTTTCTGTACATTATACTTCTATGTATAGACAGAAACTAGGTTAATTGCTCTGTCTACACGTTCTTCTTTCAAGTCTTTTATGGGAATGTTCGTATAAAAGAAAAATAAATTCCTTAGAACTCTTTACAGATACAACGCCCACTCTCTACACATACAGTTGCAATTTCTCAGCCAATTATACTTGGTTGGACAAGATGCTTGTAACCAATAGAAAAACACATTTGAAATACTATTTTTCAACAATTATTTTAAAATTGGCACAAATAATTCCACAGAGAACTTGTCAAACACTCTTAGTATTTTTGTTGCTTGTGACCACACTAGCACTTTAGTGTTATTTCTCACTTATAAATATATTAGTTAGATAGACAATCAAATTTTAATTAGGTTTGAGTTTTATATTTTAGTTAATTATATGCAAGTTATGTTTTAAAATGCATATTAGAAAATTTTATAACTTTTAAAATATAAGCCAAACTGCCTTGGTTTATCAGGCTTAGTGTAGTAGGCAAATGTCCCAACATTCTGACGATGACTAAAGTGTTGCTGCTGAGGACACCATGAGAATACCTGTTGATGTGTGTCATGATAAGTAATAATGCTAAAGGATAGGAAAGGAAAATAAAACATCACAAATAAACATTTTTCTGAAAAAGTAAAAACTTATAATTAAAAATATAAACTAAGAAGATTTTCAAGATTATTCACTGAAAAATTCAAAGGTATTTACATCTTTTCTATTTTTAATGTTAAACAAATCACTGCACAATACACTGATGATAATACTTGAAATATTCAGAGTCTGAGTGCAAATAACAAGTCTTTAATTAAAATACTTAATTAAAACAATCTCAATCTTTGTATATTGTCAAAATAATGTGCTTATTCTTCTTAATATTATATATAGTAGTAGTATTTAGAAAGCAGGTTGAATAATAAGGGTGTTGGGCTAAGAATTCTTCTTCTACAGTAGGTGTCTGTGACTTGTTGGCAATAAATTCAAAAATAAATGAACAGTACAACTCCACTTGCTTTTAAACTAATATATATATATACTATTCAAACAGGTTAAACATATGTACAACAAATTCTTTACATTACAGAGATCACAAGCAAATCATAAACATATATATATATATATAGTTCTCTTCTTCTTGTACAAAGTCTTACGTTACGGTACCTTATTACTAAGTTGGTTTCAAGTAATTTCTAGTTAGAAC